ACCTTTGCAATATTTCCAGAAAGAGCACTGGCTGAAAAGCTTTCACTATGTATATATGTAGTTCTCTGTGAGTGAAACAGGTCGCGTCGCGACGTACACAACTAAAGGTGTTCGAAAAGTTCACGTGCATTTTTTCTATGGTAGACATTTAATAAATTTTAATATTTAACACAACCTCCTACTGTCAAACTAGCTTTATTACCACTGTGTGTAATAATATCTAAAATTCTTGCCGAAATCTGGAGTACAAACTAATTTTTACTCTGTATTTTATAAACAAAGTATTCTCTTCCCGAAAGTAGCATTGATAAAAATATAATTATAAATACTGATTTAGCTTAAATTTTAACCAAGTTTAATTCTATAATTGAAATTAAAAATAAATATGGAATAATTTTTCATATTTTATAATAATTTATTTGCTTACAAATAAATATTTTGGCAATAATATCTAATATTTTCTGACTCTGAGAGTGAATGCAGCATCATCATCAACCGTAATCAGTGCCGACGTGCCCTTGCAGAGACTAATCATATGTGATCATTTATGACGCACCTCATGCCATTGATTAACATAAAGACATTTTTGCATCTGCAAACATTTAGACCGAAATAAACCAGCATTTTGCTAGCATGTCCCATCATTTTGGTTTTATTTATTTTCTTGCTTTTCTTTAATTCATTGTTTTTATTACAGTAAATTATCCAATTTAAATTAATTCAGGTTAAAAATAACATTTAATATATAAAATAAGTACCCATCTGTAAAAATAACAAAAACATGTACATATTTTTTTCCTTACAAACGCATAAATGTCTTCACCTGTAACATATAATACATATAAAGGAACTAGAACACACCTGTATGTACTCTAGCATGCGTGGTGAGATGGTGTTTCAGTAGAAACGACTTCCCACACTCGTCACAGGAGTATGGTCGTTCTTTGGCGGCGGCGGGGGGCGCTGTGGTCATCACCGTTGTGGTGTTGAGAAGCTCCGTCTGCGAATACACCGCCTATAGCGGTGGTAAGAATTGTTGCATGTTACTCTTATTTATGTCACAAACTAAGGGGATATATGAGATGGTCTAAAACTATAACTGACTGATTCCCTGCTATAAAACAAAGTGAAAAACAGAAAGGCAATACAGAAGATGGTCTGATGACATTAGAAAGATGTGACCCACTGTGGTTTCGATTGGCAAAAAATACAGCATTTGTGTCTAAAGAACATGTTGACTCAGAGACTGACATGCAAAATAACTAATATTTATAGTAGCTATTTAAAATTATAGAAAATACTTCTGTTAAATTCTGAAATTATGTGTAATCAATCAATAAAGGTTTTGAATTTGAATTTGAAATATTTTATTTATGAACTCCTTACACGAAATTTCAAATATCATAAGCGATACAAACTTTTTACAAAACTTTTATAAATACTATTTAATATCGTTTTTGCTTCTGTATATTAATGTGTACAGTGCATAACAATATAAAGCTTGTGAGCTGTTTTGGTTGAAGATTGAACTAAAACATTAAAATTACCAGATAAAGAGGCATTATGGTCCTCTGGTATGGCGATGTATGAGTGCAACAACACTCACATGTGTGTTACATGCTAATGTAATATCCATAGTGCTCTTCATATCTATAGGCGACATTTACCACCAGTGGGAAGGAGATGGTTAGTAATATGAACTAATAATACCATTGCTAGCAATGTACCATGTCAGTTTGACCTCCATGTGGTACCCTCTTCAAACAATCTTAAATTTATGGTTAATTTACCATGATGGGCTACCTTACCTGACCTCATATTCGTATTATCATCCTCCACTGGTGTCAGCCAGCGCAACCGTTAGTGCAAGAGGGTGCACTATATGATTATCATATCTTTTAAGACATTTACCTTCTACCATCAAGTAGGCTACCATCTTAATAGCATTCCAATTATATTTTAAAACATTTTTATGTAGTGAAATTAATTTACTTACAGACAGTTGATAATAATACAGGTAATGGCAACTATTAATTAGCTAATTGCCCCAATATCTGGGCATATATGGAAATATAATATACTCACTTTAGGTGAATTATTTGCAGTCCCTGGCTCTTGTTTTGTATGCAACAAGTGATGTTGGTGTACAGTATTGGCCTGTATAGTGTCTGCTTGAGTCTGCTGTGTTGTAGCCTCTGTTAAGGTCTTTATGTTCCCATTCAGAAGGGTATGGTTTAATTGTGATGCATCTATGGCTGAAGGTGTGCTAATGCCTTGAGCTTGAAGGGCCCGCTTCATTAAAATCTCATTGCATTCTTCTGCAGTCAGCTGAATAGGCCCAATTGGTGTCATAAAGGGTTTTGAAGCTAAATTTGCAGCTGTAAGAAATATAAGTATTTATTATTTCTCTCAATAAATCTAACATATAGTATATAATAAAAAATGGTTTATTACAAATCATTGTTCAGTCTCAAAAATATGTGTTGTCTATCGGATTTTAAAGACATACAATTTTTAATGAACACAGGTAGAGTAATGTAATTATATGTACATATAAGTTTGATATATTTTAAAAAAAAAAAGTTAGAGGCACATCTTATTCAATTAAGACAAAAATTCATAAACTATGGGTAAAAAAATATTAAAAAACAATACAGTAGACGGTTGTCTAAATATGGTTGGTTAACCATATTTGATATTTTAATTCACCACTTTTCATATAGTCTTTAATAAATAAAAAATGTTGAAAGGAAATAAAAGTAATATGTTAAAATAAAAATTTCCAAGTGTCAGGTACACCACTACACCAATACACTACTGCAATGGATGGTAACATTATTTAAAAATTGCCATTTATATCTGTCAATTTAGCTTCTGGGATTAACAAACAGACAATAAGCACATGATAATAGGCAAATCCTAAACTCAAAAAAAAACTTCAGTTGAAACATTGTTTTACTTACTATGAATGGTGGCCGTCTGATTCTGTGGCGTAACCCTGTTTATAGTATGAACAGGCGATTCGTTCAACACAAACATGGCTCTCCGTGCCGTAACGGGTGTACCTGTCGTCACCACTCTTGTGACTTGGGCAGCATTTGATACAGCAACTGTTACATTACCAACTTTCTCTTGCACTTGTGGTGTTTTATGTGCCATAACAGTCAATGTTGTTTCTGGTGACACCTGAAATGTTTATTAAATAATGTCGCATGTAATTCATAAATAAAGTAAATTAACAATGTTTCCTCAATTAAAAGAAGGTTGAATGTTTTGAGATGTATTAAATATTGGCCAGCAAATAGCAATTTGACCGAAGTTTGTGGGAGACAAGAGTAATTCTGTGTGACTAGTGAGAAAAGAATAATTCCTACTTGAAACTATAAGTTATATACAACAAAATATATATTCAGAAAGAAAATCGACAAAGTTTACTATTAACACACTTATCAAGTTTCCTTTTTATGAGTACTATATTTTTTTATAAAATAATAAGTATCTGTTCTTAAAAGTAACAATTTTGAATGGGGTGCTTTCTTACTAGAGACACAGAATAATTATTTTGTGGTAAATTTTATTTATCTAATAATAAATACCAATGAATGTGTAATTGGCAAACAAATTTTAATTCAATAACCAAAGGACAGTCTGCATAAACATATAATAATGTATTCATTCATACATAAACACTATGGTATATAAATTGTATACGGATGGTATGTATGCTGCGGCAAATGATAAATTGTAAATTGTTGTATGTACAGAAGATATTTTTCAAAATATGATGTTGTTTTTTAATTTGCCATTGAGACAAAGGATAAACCTATACAGCTCAAGCATGAATAATGTATACAACTGATTTTATAAGCAATGTTCTTTATTTAAATAGTATATATTTATTTAAATTAAGTAGTTATTAATGGAACAGGTTTATACTAAATAATATGTTTCCTGTATATCTATTCCAAAATAAGTGTGATGGTATAAAAATACCATCACACTTATTTTGGGCAATACTAGTGCAACTTACCGTGTTTCCAAGTGTATAACTCAAACTACTTGGTGTCTCCGCCTCGCCCTTTAGTGGGTCAGCAGCACTTGTGAACCCCCACGAATAACCAAAGCCCGAAACATTGCTCGGCGTTGGCATACACATTTTCACTGGTAAAAACTTAATACAATAAACATAAAAACAAAACCCACTAACACAAATCCACTATCTGATAGTAAACAAGAAACTTCATGACAGTTTTAGTATTGTGAACATGTACGTACGCTTTCACAACTACTAACGCACCAAAGCACAACGCACCCATCAACCATGATGCCGACTAAACGGCTCTAGTACTGTATCTCTGCGCACATAATTAATCTTACACTATGAGAAGGAATCAATTTATGTCAAGAAATTCTTCTAAATTGATCTAATCAACTCAATACAAAAGGCGGTACAGGACAACGACGCTATAGTCGACATTAACTCGCTTGCAATCCTCAGCTTTTGGCGGTTTAATTAGTTCGCTGAACACTTGAAAGTACTTCATATTACTATTTACGTACCAATTTACTATAAAAAATTAATATATAATTAATACATATTCAATTTTAAGAAAACAATAAATTCATTTCACACACAAAAAACCGGAGGCCATTTTATTGTTTATGGTCAATTTACTTTTAAATTATTTTTTGGTACTGGAAACGATGATAGTACAATGTCGCAATAATTTATTACTATGACAAGGCTGAATGATTTAATGTCAATAATTACTAATAAATAAATTATTCAGTATTTGAGTGTGCGCTAAATGAATTGCCTAAAATTACTATTTGTGTAATATGACCATTAATACACATTAAACTTGTCCGTGGTCTATGGTTTATGAGAGTTGTATTTATCACTTTTTAGAAACAAAAACAGAATGAAATCTGAAAACGAAACTTGCACAGATTAATATTAAATTGACATTGACAGTTAAATTAATATTGTTATTTTCCATTTTTACTTTTGTCTGTTTGAGGACAAAAATATTTTATTGACGATTTTATAAGCTCTTGGCAGTGGTATTTATTAATAGATATAAGAAGTTGTATAACTACCTTACTTAATAATAACTTGACAATAGTTACTTGTTTCACTTGGGTAATTTAGTGTAATTTAAATATTATAATCGAAAGTCCTAAATATTGAATCCACCATGAATCCAATGGCAATAGATAAAGACGAACCTTCATCTTTGTTATCATTTTCCACTAATCACCCTCTGGAGCAATTTGTGCTATTAGCGAAAGGTGCTAAAGGGTTTGCCTGCGCAGAGCTCATAAAACAAGTATTGGAAGCACCAGGTGTTCATGTATTTGGAGAACTTCTTGAAATGCCGAACATAAAAGAGGTTAGAAACTTTTATTTTGTGCTATATTTTAAGTATTTAGACAAAATGTACTATCAACACTCGGTTCTATTGACCAATCTTTAAAGTCAACCTCCAAGGCTAAGAGTATAAATTAGTATTTATGGGTTGGAGGTGTTAATTAAACTTCTTTTTACGTATTATTTTGACTTTTATTGAGAGCTAATCATCTCAATTCTGTAGTCTATTCTTTTTGTAAACATTTTGATAATAGATCTATACTGTTGTAAAGTAATTTTGCATATGTATATGTTGGCAAAATCACTATCCACATATGGTAGAAATCATTTTAATTAATAGAAAAGAAGTTAAATATATGTTTTTAATACAAATTAATTGTACATGTATAGTAATAAATCCCATAATTCATCATATTTTCTATAATAAAACTATAAATATTATAAAAGATATTTTATAACTATGCATACTAATTTAATCTACTTACTATGTTTTTGTTTTTCACAACAATTGTTTTTAATTCATCTGGAAGTCTTGTACAAGGTGAGTACAGATGAAATGAAAACATGTCCACAAAATATAAAAACATGGTAATTACATTATGTTCCTCTACATAAATATAATACAGTAGTACAACAGGAATACATTTAAAAATAATTATAAACATAATTTTGTTTGCAGTTAGAAAATGGTTCATATGCAGCTCATTTTAAGACATTAAATCTATTTGCATATGGCACATATAAAGATTACTTGGAAAACAAATCGGAATACTTGGAACTTACTCCAGTGCAGTGCAAGAAGCTGCAACACTTGACCATAGCAACTCTGGCCACACAAGAGAAATGCATTCCGTACAGTGTGTTGCTCAAAGAACTTGATATTAAGAATGTTAGGGATTTAGAAGATTTAATTATTGAAGCTATTTATGCAGGTAAATCTTTAAGTTTATTAAAGTACTAGCAAACTTTATCCTGCCTGGAAAAACAGTACCATTCACCGGGATTGTGTTCTTAAGACTTCCAGGAACTCGTTACAATTAACACTAAAATTTCACTCAAATTGGTCCAGACATTTCGGAAGAGTTAGGTGATGAATATACTGGAGATTTATATTATGAGTTATGACGCATTTTGTTACTTGCTCCTATATATGCAAATTGTGTATTGTATCTTGTGTGTGTTTACAAAAAAACTGCAAAACTACTTAAATTTGTTACAACTAGCTCCTATTGTGTAAATGTGTCTAAGTTAAAGGTGGGATAGTGTTTTTTGTTGTTTTTTCATTACCAGATCAGTTAAACAATTGTTTCCTTCTAGAACCTAAAGTTTGTAACATCAGTTGACAGAATGTTTTGTTATTACTGAACCATTATCATTTTCGTTATATTCAGGTTATTAAGAAAATAAACATTCTTTAAACATCTAATATAAATCATTTGAGCCAAAATAACTAGCTACCACCCCTGATTTAAACTTAATCTATAAAAATTATCAGTATCCACTCTGGAAACCAGCATTGTCTATTCCTGGGGAATTTGTCACATTTGCCTAACTTAACTAATTTTAAGCTCATCTTGTCATCTCTAGTGCATATACGCAAACACATATTTCAACATTTAGTGTTTTTATGAACAAAGTTGGTGCATCATTTGTATTTTTTAATTTTCCAGATATAATTCATGGTAAGCTCGATCAAGAATGCAAACGAGTCGAAGTAGATGTGGCACTAGGGCGCGACGCACGGCTGGAAGATGCTGCTGCAATTGCTGATGTGCTGGCAGACTGGTGCAATGCTTGCGAGGCTGTACTTAATTCTGTAGACCGTCACATACAGCGTGCCAATATTCACAAACAGAGGGCTATAAGACATCAACAGGCGATTGAACAAGAGGTATATTAGTCTAGACTGAATATGAGCAAATGACTGGAGACATTTTCCTCACAAATCTATCCCCATTCAATTCCAATGGGGTTGATGTTATAATAGTCTGACCCTACATTCCAATCCCCTAGCAATGCCCTCAGACTAAAGTCCTATTTATGCGGCGGGAGATGGCCTTCAGCCGCCATATAAGTTCTGCAGGTTTGGAGTATCATCTGCACTTGCTTTCCATCATCCAGTGAAGGTTAACTGCAACCAACAACATTAGGATATACAGAAAAAAAATGAAATATTTTTTTTATCTAAGTTGTCTCTCTTATTTCCACTGTGAAGCAGCTATCTAAATGAATAGTATGTAACACAATAATGCGAAGTCTGTAGTACTCTTCCTGTATTTAGGCGACAGTTACCATAAATTTGTTTTCGTTTCTAATTACATAAGATAAGACTTAATAACTTCTAATCATTCATTAGATGATTTCAGATTAATTTGTATTTATGAGTATTTCTCGTGTTTGAGGGTTTTAATTTATATATTTTATGTGTATTATAAAACTATATAATAGTAGTAGTATAACTAGTATATGTGGAATAAGTTCTGCTAGTTTGAGTTCAAAGTACCCTTAGTTTGATATGTCAATTTTATTTATTACAGATTTTATTTCATTATAATGTTTTTCATTACAGATTGTATATATCAAGAAAACTCTTAAAACCCAAGCTGAGAGTGAAGATTCTGCTACTGGCGGAGGCACAGAAACACATTCCGTCCCAAAAAAAAAATTCCGGAAAAGGAAAAACACCTCGTAACACTGCGAAATTCTGGCAGAAGAACACATAATTATATATATGTAATATGATTTTTAAACTGTGGTAAAATATATATATTTTAAGTAAGTGCTCATAATTCTGTTTGTTATTTACCATATATATTTATATATACATAAACCTGTTACGAAAACGAATCTAATTACCTGTCAGTAAAGTTTCAATATTAAAAAATTCAATAATTATCCTGAATTACTTTAATAACATTTTCATTAATTCATTATTTACAAAAGTAATTGCATAGTCCTAAAATTAATATTATTACTTTTTTTAATATCTCAGAACAATTTACACAGCGTCATCCATCGCCCAACCTAAGCAGAGATTTTATCTAAATACAAATATAATAAACATAGGAAACACCAGAACCGATACTCATAAACATAAATGTATTAGAATTTCTATAATATTTATAACAATAAATATAATGTACTAGTAAATACTGATGAAACTCCATCCTTATATATACCAACTTGAAATATTACTACTGCTACTACTGTAGTAGTTTCTGTGATGAATTAGAAACTTATGATATGATACTAAAGTTCGTATATACCCATATGAACAATCTTAGTAGTAATCTACAGTTTACAGCATTAGAAAGGATTGAAAGAAATGTTTATTGAAGTATTGCGCTGTCATTATACCTACTGTTTCACCTGGCTGGAAAAAGGCTTTGTTTTGATTTATAATTAATTATAATAACAATGTCTAAAGGCTCAGAGTTCTTGGACATTCGGATCGCCCTACACACCACATTTACACTGGATCTCTTAGACGACGTGATGATATGTATACAATAACAATATTTTTTAATATATGACAAAACTACTGAACACGTAGTTGGCAAAGCAACCTAAGGACGAGTCAACTAAGCAAGTTAAGCTTTGTCCCAAATATAAAGTGTGTTTTGTGCCAAAGATGTCAAAATAGAACCAACGTACAAAATCGTTGTAAATGTACTACATAATTAATACCTTTGTCCTATTTCTGTCTCATAAATTAAGTAGATATTGGTGTGACAATAAATACAGTCGGTGTTATAATAAATACAGTAATAACTCCTGTAAAAATATGATGTTCAGGTTGTTTTCCAAAAGAATCGTATTGCTATTCCATTTAATCAGGAGTCTTATTTTAGTTCTTAGAGTTTGGTATTTATTAAATTTTAACATAACATAAAAATTAGGCGCTAATGTAATGAGATGTGGTATATTATTAATTTTTGATAAATGATAGATTGTTTAATAAAATATAACCCAGCAACCCAACATACGAAACGTCAAACGAGGGAGTTGGATGTAATAGCGATGCCGCAGGCAAGCGACTGAGAGAGCGAATATTACGAACTGACAACGAGTTTCGCCGACACGGGCTGTTTTGTTGACGCAGAAGCGCAGCAGATAAAGTGCGCAGGCAGTGCAACGATTATCACGTTCGCAGGCCACTAAAAAGTGATGTAAATAATACATAAAACGTTAAACATTGTAAACAAAGACTTGATAACGTACTTACAATTATTGATTTACTTGTAGACGGACAAATATCGTGTCGTGTCAGTTCACAGCACCATAGCAACCGTACAGTGAGAAATTGCGACTCAAGTGACGGTCGCGTCCTTATACGATGAATCCGTGATTATTTACCAAAATAAATACTGGCATCCGAACGTTTTTAAAGAGACTTGATACCAGGAGTGCCACAATTCAAGGGCCTTCGTGTATTGGATGAACAGAAAGGCAAGTACTAGATGCCCTTTGTTAGGTCGTATATATTTCACCTTTGACGAATGTAGGACGGATATTCATGGTCAACATTGTTTACTAAATACCGTATTGGAGACGGACGATACATTCGATCTGTGGACTTGGCTATTAAATTAAGTAGTCTAATTATAGAAGTATAACGTAGCTGTGACGTTATAATGTTGTATATTTTGGCTATAATAAACCTTACAATATAAGTAGGTACTCGATCTTACGTCAATATAACTAGGTACGGCTTCAGTCTATACCTATGTAAATCGATAACATGTGCGTGCTTAGTTAAAAATAATAATTGTGATTTGTGATTGTTGGGTAGCGTGCAGCGCTTTATTATTGTGTGGGTTGGGTTGATGTTCTTTGTTGTTCAGAGTCAGCTGTTCGCAGGGCCAGCGGGTGTGATAGGGGGCAACGGGGGAAGGGAGGGCAACCAGTCCGACTGGTACCGCGCGCGCGCCTTGCATTATGTTACGTCTCTTTTATTCCCTTTGTGTCTGCATCTTTATAAAGGGTGGCACAAGCTAGTTTTTATTAGTGGCACGCTTTCATACAGGATTATTATTTTTTATTTTAAATAGATATCTTAAGTCTCCATATCAATGTATTATGCAAGAAACGGTTTGTGGGAGATACATAACTTTTACTTACCTACTTGCTACTTGTATATACTTATAATATATATGTAATAATAACTTATATATAAGCAGTAGTAGCAGCAATAAAAAAAATAATAACCTGCTTAATAAGTAAGTATAGAGTCATTTGTTGGGTTATTTTTATTGCCATATATCTTATTCATATTTAGATTTGAGAAGAACTGAAAATAAAAGTATCTACTTCTAAGTTTTGAATCTTAATTCCATAGACGGAGTAATAATTTGAAATAATTACTATAATTAGGAGAGAAATCTATAAAACATATTATCTCCACAATAACCTACTTCTCCAATGTTATAGTCATAGAGTCTAGACAAAGAAAATGAAACCATACATACATCATACATAGAATATAAAATTATCTGTTCATAATTTGCACGTATATATAGGGGTCGTGCAAGTTATAAGTACAGATCGATAGCTGGTATTTCTTATTACAGCTGTTACTACGGCGACGTGGCTCAGTAGTTACTACCCCGACTAATAACCCCGAAAGTCGTGAGATCTTGTCGACATCAAGACTTAGTGTTAATTTTAAACCTATGACATCAATTTTGAAGAGAGATGGATTGTCTTATACATTGGATTCCAAATATTCTCAGCAAAATATGGTATTAATAATCTATGAACAAATATCGAGTTTTTATCAGAAGTAGATATTGTGCGAAACCGTCTGCGTGAGTAATTCTGTCTCACCTATGTCAGCCGTTAAACACCTTGCTTTGTAAGCTATGTGTAATCGGAAAGCGAAATATTAAAGTGAAATTACGGCGTTAAAACATTAGGCCTCCGTAATGGCAATACATGACATCATGTCATGACCGTGCTTGCTATTCATGTATATAGGCGGCGGTTGTCACTTATTGTCAGATCATCTTGTTTACTATAAAAAAAATAAGTATTGCATTCACAAAAAATCTAAAGTGAACAATGCCTATGTCATACTGTCATAGAGTACTTAAATATTTAATTTTGGTGGTAGTCGTTTGGATTTTTTTATTACAAATGGAATGGTGCACCCGACTGCGCTAACGATTTACGTTGGCGGGGCACCAGTGCAGGATGACAAAATGAGGTCAGGTCAGTTAGCCCATCGTAGCAATACATCAACAATTTAACATAATGGTTTCCAGGGGAAACCGTTGGATGTCAACCTGACATGGTACAATGCTAGCGATGAGTCAACAGTCCACAATACTAATAATAATCCCCTTACTCTTAGAGTTCTTAATGTCTTAATCAGGGATAACAAGGGTAGTGATAACCTCTCGATACTTTGAACTGTATTTGTCTGGCTTCCACAGACCCATACCACATAGGTAATAGGATGCATTTAATAGGCTATGCGCAGCTAGAAGTCATTATGTCACCATGTGCTTCCTTGTACATAAATAATGCAGGATTAACACATATTCGTAAAGTTCACCCAGTTACCGCGTGAGTATCCCCTCGTATACGATGTCTGCCTCCCCTCTGATCGATCCCCCGTCAATATTCAAATTCAAACGGTGATCGAAACTGCCTGATCTGACGTTCGATCCTCTAGCGGTGTCCTCAGACTAATGTCGTATACGTAAAGCGGGAGTTGGCCTTCAGCGGCACCATAAGTCCTTCCGCGAATTTGGAGTGCCACCTGCACTCGTCCCCTATCGTCGGTGAAGCTGTAAAGACCAGTTTTGATCAAAGCATTAGAGTAGTCCGAAAAAAAATTGCATTGATCTGTTAACAAGATACAATATAGGTACAAAAATTATGTGGAGTAACGTAGTGTGTGTGCATGGCTCATACGCAAAAAGGCAGTACGTACCTTAGTGTATTGTTTGCTGGAACAGCAAACCACTGATTTTTTGAAGACTGATGTATTACATATATAACCAATATACATAGTCTTAGTATCAGAAATGGCTAACCATAAAGAGTTCCAGAGATGTCACTACTTTTATTAAAAAATAATAACGCGATCGTTAGTTTTTTTTTTGTCTCCTACTTTCCATTTATATAAAGATTCTAAGCATTTCGACGCCCATAAAAGATCTACCATTGGAAACATCTAGAAGAGAAAATACTATAAGCCGAAGAAATTGCAGAGCGCAATAACTCTTAAAGGATAAAGACTAATTTGCTGAACCACCGATCTAGAACGTTCTCTGGTTGGATAAAATTCTTATCTCAGTTCAGATGCTGATTTGCCGTTATTCGCAGAAAATGTGAGGTAATAAAGTGTATAGAATTCTCACGGACTTGCTGCTACCATATTTGTCACATTATTTCAATTATGACATAACAAAACCACGTCTATACTAGTTACTTATATAGAAAATGACATAAAATAATATTATCAAGTATATATGCTCTATAAATATTAAAGTTATTAAAACGCTATAAATTTTATTAAACGCATTACAAAAATCCTTACTTAATAATAATGTAATAATATGACTCTTTATTGTGCACAGAATAATATTTACAAAAGAAAACTTAAAAAAATTAACTTAATAATATAAATATGCTAAACTAATATCAGTCTTATCTCTTACAGACAACCTTACTCTAATGATTAGAAAGAGTATCATCAAAAAAAAAAACCTCATAATTCATAAATACTGTGTATGAATTCAGTGCAAATATCATAAACTAGCTGTACCCGCGACTT